TTTCTCCCTCGCTCAATACCACATGTAGTAGGTGGGAGGGTGGCTCTGAGGTCACAATAGAAGAAGAGCTAGCCCTGACCCTCCCCGGCTGTAGCACACAAGAGAAAGCAGCCTCTGCTCCCATCTGGGCAACACACTAGAGCTGACCCTGGATAGCCAGCCTGGAGGGCATGAGAGTAGGAAAGCTGACACTCTTCCCTCTCCTCTTCCCTTTATTTCCCCTAAAGCAATCAGGAGAGAGGGCCTTGTACCTTGCCTGGGCAAAACAGTAAAGCTGGTCCTGGTAATATGAGTGAGAGAGACCCGGATCTGAGGTCCTGAGAACAGGAACAATGACCCTGTTCCTTGCTGTAGGCTGCATTGGGTGAACTAGCAGAGATAGTGATGGAGAGCTCATCCAGCGAGTGATAATGAGAGAAAAAAAGAGAGCTGATCAACCCTGCTGCCACCCAGGCTCAGAACCAGGGCTATGAGTTGACTTACTTCAACATCTACCTCATCTATGAACTGTTGGAGCAGGTGAAGGGGACAAACCTACAGATCCAAAACAGCAGGCACCCCAGTGGGAGCCCATTATTAGTGGTGTAGCAGAAACCAGAGATTTCAAGCCAGACCAATGACTCATGGCAATAAACACAACTAAAGATGAATGGACTAAAGGGTAAACTGTGTGACTCAATGGACCCACACTACAGCTTCCATGATAAGATTTTGTTTGTTTATTTGTTTTTGTTGTTTATGTTTTTGCTTTGTCTTTTTGTTTGATTTGGTTTTTAGTTTTTCTTACAAATTTGGTTTTGTTCAGAGAGGAGGTTGCAAGGGCAGAGGGAAGAAGTGAGGGGACAGGGAGATACGTAGGATCAGAATGCAAGATGTGAAATCCACAAAGAAGCAATAAAAGTAAAATTTAAAAAATAAATTAAATTAAAATTATCCCAATTTTATGATTAAAAACAAAACAATGCCATTCTGAGTTGAAAAGATGTGCCTCATATATATGGTAGACTCAGCTGGTTCTAAAGGCTTGTGTTCCATATTAGGTCCCAGTCCAAACCCAAGGTATTTTATATTAAGCACCTTTATGTTTTAGTAAGTTGACAGAATCATGTCACTTAAAATACATTATTTCTGTGACTATCCCAGACTGTCTTGTCTTTCGCTACACTGGACCATCCATAATCTTAAGTTTTATTTAAATTATGGACATAGATATTAATACTTGAATACATTTGAATACTTTTAAATTAAATGAACATGGATAAGAATAAAATATATGTATCATTATATATCCTTTATTACCACAACTTGATTAACACATTCATTACCTCTCATAGTTGCTTTTCAAAAATATCGAAATGCTTTAGGTAGATGATGTAATAGTTAACTATAGGCTTCATGCTGTGCAATGCTCCTCAGAATAGGAACAAACTATTCTGATGAAATTTCTTTGCCAACAAGGTGCAGATAGTACAACTAAGTGTTTCTCTCTGAGTTAACTCTGAGATGTGAAAATAAAAGGCTGAGCGGACCAAGGAAAACACATTCTGAGACTTACAATTGAGACTTTCCCCCACCAAACAACGTTTTCCTTAGTTTCATCCTTGCCATCTTATATCCCATAGGATGCCAAACTACTGACATACCTGGTACTCAGTGACAAAAATTCCACTGTCCTCCTAATGATTGTTGGAAGAGACAGAAAGTAAACACTAAACTGGAGGCTAGTGCAAAGGACATGGAGACAGACTCCGAAGTGATGGGTAGCTCAAGGAGCTTCTTCTGTACTGCTTAGCTACCGCTCAATGTTTTAATTGGTTACTTCCTACTGATCCAACAGAGAGAGTGGTATGACAAGGCCTTGGTCATATACCTTTGTCAATATAAAGGTTGTGCCTTCGCCCTTAGTGATCCTATATACAGAGCACATGCAACTAACATGCTATGTTCATTGTTCAGTGCTTACAGAAATATAAAGAGAAATGTAAGGAAATCAGGTTCTTTCTGACTGTATCAAACAACATTGTTCTTATTTATCCCTAATTTCTGTTTATCCTTCTATATTGACATCCCTCTCCCCTTCCCATTGAAACATACGTTGTTTTTCTGTTCTCTGATTCATATCACCTCTATCCTACTGTTCCTCTTCTCAAACTCTCCTCCACAGTCCCTTTATTTTATTTATTTATTTTTTGGTTTCTATGAATTTTCCCTGCTTTTATTTATATCTGAAGTTTGGGAGGCAGGTACTGCAGATGAGAGAGAGACCATGTGGTATTTGTCTTTCTGGGTCTGATATATATATAAAGGAAGTTATGACACTTGACTTGACAGGCTCCTCCATAAGAGCCATAGACTATCAAATTCCCCAGTACCTGGAATGAGGAATCTCCTTTTGAATGGTTGTTCATGGTAGTCCAGCGACTCCCAAAACAATATAGACTATTACTGTTGCCCTGATTGTCTCTCAGAGGTTAAATATAAGCACCTATTACTGAAGATGTTGCACACTTAAGACACAGAACTTGGATGATTTGACCTGGATCTAACATGAAAGCCTCTTTTCTTTTGTATAACTTCCAAAATACTATGCAGAGTGCCAAGGGAGGGAAGCACCTATGAATGACAACAGTAACCAGTATGGCAAGGTATAGGTAAAGGTGCAGTAAGTAGCACACACATGGGAGTGGTAACCAACAGCTTTCACATTGGATTCACAGTCCATTCAACAGGAGCGAAATCATGCCTGGCACTAGAAACTTAATCAACTTTCCCATGTGTCGGGAAGTCATGGATCTTAAAAAAGAATCTGCTACTGCCATTTTGCTAGGCCAGCATAATTCCTAAATACATTCTAAATCTTATCCTTATATTGACAGATGAATGTAGCTATTACCACTCAGTAAATAAAGTTCTATTTACAACAAATAGAGACTATCACAGAAAACCACAACTGGACACAATGTAGAGATTGTGCGGAGACCAGTCTCCATGGATACATTGACAACACATCTCCTGCTTCTTTGGGTCAGGGAACATGTGGAAGAGGACAGAAAGATTTAAAGAGCCAGAGTATCACAATGTCTGCTGTGAGGCATTCTCTCCTAGTATTGGCTGCACAAAGGAGATCTGAACAATGGCAATATTAATAGATATGCTAAAATGGAAGGGGTAGATTCTCATGGACTCCCAACCTTAAAGAACTACAGTCAACTAATGAAAACCAAGAGAGAGAGAGAGAGAGAGAGAGAGAATGATCTCCTAAGGAGCTCTATAATCCATTACATAATACAAAGTGTTCAGCCCTGAAACCATATACACACAAATAACAAAAAATGGATTTAACAGGTTGTATTTAAAATTTATGCATATACACTCACATTTATTAACAATAACAATCACAGACTATCAGTTTGAGCCTGGGCAGGGACATGGGAGGAGTTGGAGGGAAGGGACTTGGGAGGAGCAGGTGGGAGGTAAGGGAAAGGGAAAAAGATATAATCATAGTTAAATTATATATGTGTATATACACACATATATACATATATATTTAATTTAAAAAGGTAAATACGCTGCTAATGGCAGCTTTATCATTTTCTCTCTACATCTGACTCAGTGATGGCTCAACTTGGCCACCCACTCTGGTGCTTGCATAGTATTGTACTTTAAAGACCTTGGTAGGAAGGGATAGAATAGCTCTTAATAGGTATTAGAGGTAAGTTTTGGACAAAGTCCAACTCTTCCAAGGGAGCTGTGATTTCAAACGTGAAGCACATTTCATCTGTGAAGTATGTATAAGTTACCTCTGGGCAAACTTGAAGCAAAGCCAATTTTTTATCCCTAGACTCTCAACCAGATACTGACACACTGGCTTCACATTTTGTTGAGTGTAAAAGATAGTAGAGATGGGAGGGGTTTGGGGAAACAGGGACATGGGGACAGGACTTAGTAAGGAGCTTGAAAATCAAAACACAATTCCAAAAAACTGATAGCCACTCTAGTTCAGTAAAACAGGTGGGTATGAACAAAAGTGCATAGCATCAGAGTCCCCCATAAGTGCTTAAATCTGCAGTATAGCATATAACACAGAGTAATAACTGTTCATGGGCAATATGTTAGCCATTGTTTTTGTTATCATGACAGAATGCTGTGGAAAACAACTTGAAGAAATATTTATTGTGGATCATTGTGGTGGTATTGTGTTGCCCAAAATATTGTGTACCTTAATATACTTATCTGGGGTCAGAGAACAGAAAAGCCACTAGTTAGGCAGTGATAGCACACACCTTTAATCCTAGCATTCCAGAGGCAGAAATCCATCTGGGATCTCTATGAGTTCAAGGCCACATTGGAAACAGCCAGGCATGGTGACTCACGCCTTTAATCCCAGGAAGCAAGCCTTTAATCCTAGGGAGTGATGGTAGAAAGCAGAAAGGTATATAAGGCATGAGGACCAGAAACTAGAAGCATTTGGCTGGTTAAGCATTTGGCTGGTTAAGCATGTGGCTGGTTAAGTATTCAGCTGGTTAAGCTTTCAGGCTTTGAAGCAGCACAGTTCAGCTAGGATTCATTCTGGATGAGGACTCAGAGACTTCCAGTCTGAGGAAACAGGACCAGCTGAGGAACTAGTGAGGTGAGATAGCTGTGGCTTGTTCTGTCTCTCTGACCTTCCAGTATTCACCCCAATAATTGGCCCCGGGTTTGATTTTATTAATAAGAACTTTGAAGATTCCTGCTACAGATCACAGTTTCAGTGATTTCAGTCCATAATCACTTTGCTCCATTGCTTCTGGGCTCATAGTGAGATGAAGATTCAGTGGGAGCACATGGTTTTCAAAACAGTTTACTTCATAGTGGATACAAGGCAGAAATAGAGATGGCAAGGGACTGGAGACTAGATATGCCCTTCTATCCCCTGAAAGTAGTCTCCATCTCTGGCAATTTTTATGACTCCTGAACAGTCCATTCAATTATGACCTAACAGTTGATTCACTGTTGAGACAAGAGCCCCCAGGATACGATACTTCTCGAGTGCTGTGCCTCTGAAGGTTGCCGTATTGAGGACCAAGTCTTCAACATACGAGCTTTTGGGAGATGTTCAGCTCCACACCACATGGGTAAGATATGGAGAAAAGGCTGTGGAACAAAGCAGGTATCAGACTTGCCTCTAGAGTAGAAAACAAGGCTTCTGTCAGTTCCAAGTGTACAAGTTCCAGGTCCAGATGTGGTAATGAGATGTTTCACGTTCCTAACCGTCATAGGAGAAGAGGCAGATGACCTCTCCCATTCTCCCTCTGAGCTTCCTTTCTCCACCTCCTCACCTTCATGTTTTCTTTATGCCTCCCACACAGAACAGGGACTGCTTATTAAGATCTTGGCTTTTCTTAGGCACTTGCAAGAGCAGTTCTTCAAATCAGATTTGGAGGTATGTGCCTTCATATGACTAGTAGATATTTATTGGAATCTGTGGTCATGAAATTCAAAGGTTTATTTTTACTTAGGTGTACAAGTATGTGTCTGTGCACATGTGTGCTGATGCCCATAGAGGCCAGAAGAAGGTATTCGAGTTACAGGTGTTTGTGAGCTGGGAACTGAAACACAGGTTTCTGAGAGTAGCAAGATTTTTTTAAGCACAGAACTGTTTATCTTGGCCCATAGTTGTCATGAAACTTAAAGAAAGAATGCCGACGACTAACAGAGCTCAGAAAGGGGGCCCGCATGTTGTTCACCAGGAGAAAAAAAGCAGCATCCCTTTTGTTAATTCTTCTGTATCCATATAATGCCCCTTTTTTTCTGCTTTTGATCAGCATTCAACTTTGTCTTATGCCCCATGTAGCTGCTCCATTTTCATGAATTCAGCAGTTACTGACCTTATTTGTTCCATTTATCCTGAGACAGGGTTTTGTGTGAAATTCACAATTGACCAAATCCTGAAGGTAAATGTTATCCTAAAATATGTCACTCTCCCACTGACACTTTGGAACTGCCAGACAGCAATATCAATTATGACAGTAACCACAAGTTAAGAGAGGAATGTGTCACATAACTATTCCATTGGTGATGTTTGTAAGCATTGCAGCTCAGATCAAAAGGTATCCTGGCAGTAAGGTGCCAAGGAATACCACAAAGTCACACCACACAACAAACCTCACACAAGAGATTTATTGAGAGGGAAAATATCAGGAGATTGGTGGCCTCTGTTCAGGTGAGAAATAGCAGAGAACGGGGCTTATATAGAGTTTCTTGTGGAGGTGGTGATGGAAAATTTCAGGGTGAAGCTTTTCAAGGTAGGGATTGGTGGGACTTTGAGTCCAGAGCTTGAGCTTTTTTGCTCTGTAGGTTGGGGCTGGGTCCAGCTGTTAGGACAGTTAGAATGTTCTGTGGGTGGGACCTGGCAGTTGGAGGTCCTCAGTGGAAAGGCCAGGCCACTTGTGTGCCTGGAGGGGCTTACAATATTATATGTTAAAGAAACATAATTAGGAGAGATCATGGATTAATAGTACTAGACATAGAAAGCTTGTTGTACCTGAAAACTAGAAAGCTAGATTTTTCATATAATTAAACTGTATAACAAATATCTAGACATGGTGGCAAGGTAACATTATGAAAAACTATAGGAGGGAAAGCCATGTGATTGTCTTGATTGTTAAGCTACAAACAAGTTTATTTGTAACTAATTTGTAAAAGGAGAAATATGGACTAAAATGTCAGAAGTTAATTTAAACACTCATATTCTATGGTTGTATGTTATAATTATGTGACTTATATAATACTGACACAAAATAATGTAATTAATTTCTAATGTGAGGAAAATTAACAAGAATTAATATCCACAAAAGTAGAATTATATTAAAGCCAACTCTGATAGTTCTCTACCACTCCATCCCTGGTATAACAGCAGCCTTCTTTTCCTTGCATGATACATGCTGAGACACCAGCTCTGTAGTAAGGCTAATTAGAAAGAGATATGTTTGTAAAAACAGTGCTTGGAAACATCCAGGATATGTTTATTCCAGGGGGAAATAGAAATTCATGCAAATTAACAAGATAATTGACTTTGAAAATGGTATATTATGGATTCACAGAATATGTACTTAGTTTTTAATAACTTAATAGTTTTAGTAAAGGGAAGGGTGATACTTGCTAAAATACATCTTTATTTCTGAAGGTGTGTTTGCAGAAATGATTGCAAGAGAAACAAGTTGAAACGAGCTCACTCATTTGTTTCTGCCCAGAGGGCTGTTTGGGTAAGTTCAGAATTCAACAGGTTCTTACATGTCTTGTAAAACACGTTTGTTGTTTGGGTAGGTTTGAAATAACTTTCAAATGGTACAATAAGAACACCTTTAATTTTTCCTTTTCAGTAAAAGTCAAGTACAGTTCTTCACACACACACACACACACACACACACACACACACACACACACACACACACACCAATTTTCCTTGTCTTCTGGTTTTAGATTGTATTTCATGTGGTTCTTGGCTCAATGAAAAAAATTAAATTTTTGGTTTCTTCATAGGAGCTAGTTAAAAATGACTTCTTTGTTTTAGAAAAGTAGACACTATTGTTTCTAAATATTCCCATTTTATGAAAAGAACAAAACATAAAGAATGACTATCTTTGTGGATTTCTGTAGGCCTCTTTAGCTGCTGGCAATGGTCGAGAGACAGCCGGGACTGACCTACTCTGGTGATGGGATGGCCAAACACCCTAATAGTTGTGCCATAAACCCCATCCAAGGACGGAGGAATCTGGATGCAGACATCCACGGCTAGGCCCGGGGTGGAGCGCTGGGAGTCTAATTAGTGAGAAAGAGGAGGGTTTATATGAGCGAGAATTGTTGAAACCAAGGTTGGATAAAGCACAGGGACAAATAACCAAATGAATGGAAACACATGAACTATGAACCAAAGGTTGAGGGGTCCCCAACTGGATCAGGCCCTCTGAATAGGTGAGACAGTTGATTGGCTTGATCTGTTTGGAAGGCATCTAGGCAGTGGTACCAGGTCCTGGGCTCATTGCATGAGTTGGCTGTTTGAAACCTGGGGCTTATGCAGAGACGCTTGGCTCAATCTGGGAGGAGGGGAATAGACCTGCCTGGACTGAGTCTATCAAGTCAATCCCAGTCCTTGAGAGAGACCTTGATCTGGAGGAGGTGGGAATGGAGGGTGTGCTGGGGGGAAGGGGGGGGCAGGAAGGGAGAGAACAAAGGTTTGTGCCTATTATGTAGAACTGAATAGTATTGTAAAATAAAAAAATAAAATAAAATAAATTAAAAAAAAAAGAATGACTATCTTGTGCTTTCCACTGTAAGTGATATGGAAATACAAACATGAACTCAACATTTTTGTTCTCAAATATGATTTTCAAAGAATGACAGATTGCATTTTAAGGGCAGCAAAAGGTTAGACCTTTTTGAACATATAAATCAACACGAGCAATGAGCATGTAATTACAGAAAGGAGGACACCACTGCCTGGCAGTCCTGTAGCAGCTGGCTACTGTAGATCATGCAGTTCTTCAAGTAACATGATTTCTCCATGTGTTTAGCCTGTTAGACTGAAAGGCTATAATCTGAGGATTTGAGATATGTGCTGATAAGCTTTTACTATTACTCATATTAAAACACACATATCAATATGTCCATAAGTAACTAATACCCTATGGCAATTTATTCACCATACCTGAAATCATTCAAGCAGAAAGGTAAGGTCTTAGGAAAGGCAAGCTGAGAACAGCTCTCTTTCTCTCTCTTATTATTACTCCAGAAGGAAAGAAGAGCTAGAATCTTCTGGATGAGGAAGACTGTGGAATCTAGAGGCAATCACAGTTGTGAAAACTGTATAGAGTGTATAAGTAAAATATTACACATTGGAAGATGCTCTTTCACAATTTTAAGATAAAGAAGCGAGAATAAAATCCACTGACTTTGTAGTAAGACATTAAGAAACCCTTTTGATTTGATCTATGGTAGAAACAATTCAAAAGATATAGTGATCCCCCTCTCCTTTCCTGAGATAATGTATCACTATATAACCCTGTATGGTGTTAAACTCCTTATCCTCCTGGCCATCTCCTGGGTGCTGGAATTATATATATACACCATCATACCTGGATTACAATATACATTACATATTAAAAGTTAATAGTTGTAATGACAACTAATATCTAACAAGCTAAGGACAACTTATGTTCTTTAATGCATATTTTTGTACTTAATATAAACTAACAGAGATAATGGAGGTTCTTTAGTATGATGTTTTACAATGAAGAAAACATGTGTACAAGACATCTTAGTCAGTGTCACATAAAGGGGACAGTACACTGGAGATTTTTTGTGTCTAGGCAGTTTGGATTTAGGGTCCCTGAATTTAAACAGAACATTTTCAGTCATAAACCTTGAATGATACTTTAATAACCTTTTAGTTTATCTGCAATTTTTATACTGAGAAATCAAGGCTTGCAGAGTTAAAAATGTCCACACATCATAGTGAGTTATAGGCTGAGCTGAGAACAAAGCCCTGAACTCATAGGTCCCCTTTGAGAACTCTCAACTTAGTCGTTTTAATGCTTGTTTGTTTTTGAAAAGTAAAGTATTTAATAATGCCTTCAATCCTTTGAAATTAGATCACTCAGCTTCTTCTGTCTGAACACAGTTGAGGAAACACTAACTAGAATTGCCATTGCCCATTTAATGGGAGATGAGGTATATGCCATTAGCTGATAACCCGGGAAATTTCTACAAGCATTTACCATGAGAACACTGACAATACATTTCAAGCATAGTACTTCTTTCCTCAAAATTCAATTTCCCTTCTGACTACATTTTTTTTGCAAGAAATATGCCTATAAGTCCTTGTTTTGAAATAGGGAGCACAACTTCATTTTCTGCTTCCCTTCTCTGTGATGATGCTGGAACTGGGAAGGGCTAGATTTCTGGACCCCGACGTTGCTTCTCCCACTTTCTTTTATGCTGCCATCTTAACCGCCTTTCTTGATGGTCAGTATCTCTGCCACAAATGGGAAAGGTTGATGTAGAATAAAACTTTTATGATTTATGAAATCTTTGATGCAATATAGAGGCTTTTTGTGCGTACTGTGATGTCCCAGCATTTGGTCACACTTCTGAACCCTTCACTGTTGGAAAGGGGAGAGTTCATGTTCTTACATGCAGTGCACTGCCTTGGAAGTCACAGGGATTTAGTGGAAAATGAAAATATTTTGAGTCACTTGCATTCATCGCATAAAGCAGAAGTTGTTCATTGTATATATATCAGATCCCCTTCCAGAGGGACGTGATCCATCTTGACTTATACTCTCTTCTTGACTGGAATGAACATCTTCAAGTATACACAGCATGAGCTATGTTATAGAGGTTATCAAGAAAATGTTTTGCTTTAAACTATTTAAAATTAAAAATCAAACGGTTGGCACATTGTAGAAGAATTTCTAAATGGTCTTGCTAATAAAAACAAACCTGGAGCCAGGTATTGGGGTAAATGCTGAAAGATCAGAGAAACAGAACAAGCTACAGCTAACCTCGCCTCTCCAACTTCTCAGCTGATCCTGTTTCCTCAGACTGGAAGCCTCTGAGTCCTCATCTGAATGGATCTCAGCTGAACTGCTGCTAAAAGCCTCAAAGCTTAAAAAGCCTCTGGTTCCTGGTCTTCATGCCTTATATACCTTTCTACTTCCTGCCATCAGTTCCTGTGATTAAAGGCGTGTGTCACCATGCATGGCTGTTTCCAGTGTGGCTTTGAACTCACAGAGATCCAGATGGATTTCTGCCTCCAGAATGCTAGGATTAAAGGTGTGTGTGCCACCATTTTCTGGACTCTATGTCTATCTAGTGGCTGTTCTGTTCTCCGATCGCAAATAAGTTTATTAGTGTACACAATATATTGGGGGACACAATATCACCATAGCACATTTTACAGAATGCTGCTGATGCTTCATTTTAATACACTCTACAAACATGATAGATAACCCACTTGAGACCCAAAAGTAGAGTATCATTAAATGACCCAAAATTCATAGAGCAGAGTAAAAGAAATAGTCACTGATTTATTCAGCTACTTAGAAGAAGGTCCTGCTGTGTTAGGCCTTGTGCTGACTGTTGTGATATATTCAGATAGATGAGGAAAGGTCTTGGATCTCAAAGCTCTGATATTGTATGTGAGTTCACAGTTTTGCTTATGTTTTTAAAGTGCATTAGTAACATGGAGATTGCCATACCAGTTGCCAGTTAGGTACTGAGATTGAAATCCTAAGTGGAAGTTACTGCCTCGGATAAAGAATTGGAGGTCCTATTCTTTTATGGGTGATGGCAGCTAAATTTTTGGTGTGTTGTTTAGGTCTGTAGAAGCAACTGATGTTAATAATACTATCATAGGGAAGCTACAATAAATGGTTAAGTAAAGGAAGGGGAAACTTCTCCTAAAGCTTACCCTAACTCTAACCATAACCATAACCCTATAACAGGTGGAAAATAGCCAGTGGAATCCAAAGCCAAGAGAAGGTAGGACTTCTGTGTTCCTCAATGAAGGCTCTAAGACAATCTCTGATTTTACTAATAATCCTATCTGGCACTGTTCTACTAAGCCTTCCACTCATTCATTACATACTAAATCAGATCACAACCTTACTTCTGTATGTGTATACATTTGATAAAGGTAATTATTGAGGCAGCCCTATTGGTGGTCTTTCTGAGAGATCATTTTGCCTTTTAAATGTTTTAATTCATTCTTTGATAACTTTATAGGATATATTGATTGTTTTCTCCTACCTCCACTTCTCCTAGATCTCCCCCAACCATCCAATACAACATTATTTTACTTTCTTAAAATCAAAATGAAATAAACAACACACACGAAAAGGAGAAGGAGAATGAATAATAAACAAATAAAAAGTCATGGAGCCCCATTTGTGGTAGTTAACTTCTCCTGACCATAGAGTCTTCCCTAGACTGCAGTTGATATACCTAATGTCACTCCACTGAATGAAACTGATTTCCCCTCATCCTGCAGCTATCACCTCCTCTCCTCCATGCTGGAATTTTGTCTGGCTTGAGCTTGTGCAGATCTTGTGCATGTTTTCACAGACTTTTGTGAATTCACGTGTAAATGTCCTCCATTGTCTTTGGAAAATGCTGTTTCCTTAAAGTTGCTTACCACCTCTGGATCTAACAATCTTTCCACCCCTTCTTCCACACAGATCCCTGAGCCATGAGTAAGGTGTGTGAT